GGTCGCTCAGGGTTGAACTGTGGAGTCCTTGGGGTTCTCTGAGCTTGGTTGTTTTCTTGCAGATTTTTTGTTACCTGGCTAGGTAACATCTTCAGCACTGAAGATGTTACCTAGCCAGGTAATGAAACATCTGCAAGAAAACAACCAAGCTCAGAGAACCCCAAGGACTCCACAGTTCAACCCTGAGCTACCTACATTCTGTGATAACATTTAATCACAAAAGGTGCTACCAGACTCCTCCTGATATTATGGACAAGAATATTTTGTTTCACATTTTGTTTTTCTGGTGTGAAATTGCAGTCAGGGTAAGCTGTCATTTTATTTCAAAGTTCCTGTGTATTTTTTAGGAAACAGATTGAGACTTTTCTGCAGTTTAGTTCTTTGTTGGCAAATGCAAGGCTGAGGTAGGAACCCTAGGCACTTTTACCTCAGATTGAGTCCTGAATGAACTAACTCCTGATTAAGCAATATGTATGGGGCCCAGGTCCATGTATACTTAATAAGAAGATGATTCTAGCTTCTTCATAGATGGTTGCAGACCTTAAATGGAGAATGTGAGAGATGTATTTTTTAAAAATGAATCTAGGTAGAATGTGTCATCATCTTTAAAAAGACTAAGCGCTTATTTATGATAGTCAAGAGGAGAAGACCATTACCACACTTGCCATTCCTTAGCATGATGCTGTTTATAAAGTGATCTTTGGCCTTACCCTTTTTGTGGCTGAGCACACTTTTCAAGGGTTTCTGTGGACAGTGATAACTTTAGCTGTGATGGGTTATTGGCCATCCCCTCTCTGGAGTCTAGACAGTGGTTTGTGCAACATGATTCATGAGTGGAATCCCTTGGAGAGGATGGAAATCTTGCTTCCAGACACAGCAGATCCTCTCCAGGATGGGATGTGTTGATTGGCAGCTCCTGATATTGTCAAAGAGCCAATCCATCCTTGCGGAGAGCCCAACTAGAGCCAGATGGACATAGCTGGTACATGTATTCAGAACTTGGATCCTTTACTGCCGCAGAGAACTGTTCTTCTACACTGTGTATAGTCAGTTGGGATACAAAGTCTTACTCATAATAACAGAATACCAAAAGGGGTAAATGTCTCAATAGGATTCAGTAAAAATGTACAGTAGCTTTGTACAAATGAAAGCATGTCAGCATCTGATACAAATAACTTGTCATCTATCCCTCTGCTTGTCACAGGGATGCAACTCTTATTCTCCATCCTTACAGCCAACTGGACCGATGTGAGCAGGTTGCAAGTACAGAAAATAAAGTCTGTTTTTACAAGGAAATGTTAATTATTTGATTACAGAGAACAGACTTCCTAGTTTGGTAGCCCCAGCTTGGTTGAATTCAACATCTGTATCCAGTCTGCAATAGATATGGAGGTCATTAGGTTGGGGAAGGCTGATATAAATGGGAAATTGTGCCTTCTGCTTCTGGCCACAGGCCCCCTTGGAAACAGAGAAAGGGATTTTAGCTGCAACTAATGTTAGAGCTTAAATCCAGTGCTGTATATGTGGCACTTTAATCAAATATGTACATTTTTAATACGTACATTTTATGTGAAGTAAATATTTGGAAGCCCCTCTGGGTGGAGCTTATTTATCAATAGACATGTGTAGGATTGTGCTGTAACTGCCTTTGTTTTCAGTGGGTTGGAGTTTGGGTTCATTTTTGCCCAGTTGTGCTCTTTGCATTTTCCTTTTAACAACAAGATGATATAGTCCAAGCTATTTAGAGTTCTGTAATCTGAATGTTCTCTATGTCTTCAACATGAATGTGATTCTATATTCAGGGAACCAGAAACTGGAAAGGAACCAAGCCTCAGTAATATTTTTAATTTCACAGCAGGAAAAATTGTGCTATGTACATAAGCAGTAGGAAAAAAAAACACCATCTTTGCTTGAGCACAGTCTCTGCACCCTGTCCTGTCTTGTCTCCGGTTTCCATGAGTTTTGTGACCTCTTGCCAGGGAGTGTTTGCTAGTGACAACACAAGATTCTTTTCCTCCATCTCCCCTACCAATTATAGACATTTGGAGAAAGCACAGGTGGTAACCCTGAAAAATGTTTATGCTCTGAGATGATATAAATAACTTTCTTGTTATGGGAATGTCTTCATGGCAGTATCTACCCAATCGTTTCTTTGACCTACCCCCACCTTTATATTTGGTATTCTAGCAGAATAAGTTCTGTTTAATTCAGAGGTGATATGATATTATCTAGGTGCTTGGCTGATCTCAAAAAGCTAAGTGTTTGAATGGGAGACCATCAGGAAATATAAGCTTGTAGACTAGATGAGGAAGGTGAAGAAAATTCCCCAAAGAAGATGATGGCAACCATTTCCATAGCAATACTTTGAAAACTACATGGAAGTGTCCATGAAACCACCAGGAGTCAGACTTGAAGGACCTTTTTATCTTGATAATGAACATTTCTGAAGATCCCTTGTGTGGGCCACGTATGGCCTATGGTGCCTCCCTCCCTTCTTATCCAAGTAGTTGCTATAAGGAGAACAAGAGAGCCAATAAGCACCAGCATGAAGTCCAGGGCCCAGCTCAAAGCATGGTGGCAAAAGCAACCAAGTGTCCCTTGGAAAGATGTTTAACCACTGCTTGCTACTCCTCCTTCACTCTGTGTTCTCCTGGTAATACCAGTGGGAACTGAATTCTTATGGACCAAAGATGATCATTCCTTAATGGTGGGGAGCTAGAGAGTACACACAGAGAGAGAGAGAGAGCACGAACATGTTAAAAGAAAAAGGATAAGAAAGGAAAAAGGAAAGAATAGCATGTTGTGTTTGTGTATGTATGGAATGTCGGAGTGGGGGGAGGACTCTGTGATCTTCCTTTAAGATCTTAAATTGATATGTGAGCTTAATTTAAAATAATCACAACCCAGTATTCTTTCTCTCTCAAGATTGATAAAAATGACTAAGAGAAATGAGATGGGACTTTGATGACTTTGAAAGGGAGCCACTGAAATAATGACCTCTGATAGATAGAAAATAAATTATTTGGGCCTCTCTTGCATGTTAATTCAATTGGTCAATAATGATCTGAAACTGAGAGCATGCCTCTAAATGCCACACTAAGTTAAACATGCTAACAAAGAGTTGGAGATGGTGGCAAGGCACTGTAGATGAAGCTAAAGACTCATTGTACAGTCAGCATTTTTGTGTCCACAGTTTAATGTTATAGTGTGACTAAATGGCAGAAATGTTAGGGAGGAATTAGGGCATGGTAAGCTGTCAATCTAGTTTGCCTGTTCAACCTGCCCTACTTTGTCAGATGTTCCACCCTGGGTAACCCTGATTGGTGTCCTTATAAATAGGACCGGATATTGCTAAAGCACAGGGGATGACTATTTATTAGAGAACAGATTGTCAGAATGCTTTTGCCTATATTTGGACTTGCCAGTTATGATAGTTAAAGGATTCATTTGAGAACCCATAGAATCTGCCTGCTGCTTTTG